CGACATGGAAACTATTTCATACATGTTTATATTCGTTAATATCCTCTATCATGAAATATATCCCAGACAAGGCAATTGTATACTTGTTCATATACATGAATAATAAAAATGTCTCAACTTTCAAATATGTAAAATATTTCATTTACATACACCAAAGATTTTTGTGCAAGTCAATCAAATCAATATAAATTGATTAAATTTCAATTATACAGTTTGTTAAGGCTGTTGTTATTGTTTTTATTTACAAGTTTCAATATCTGGTTTCAGAAAAAACGTGAGGAAATTTTCTCTTGTTATTACTTAATATTAAAAGAAACTCACCACTGTAGTTTTGTGCAGATTATGTAATTTTTTGCAGAAGAGCAAAATAACAGTTGAGCAAGACAGAGCGAGAGATTCATGCAGAGAAAGGAAGAGAAATAAAAAGAGAGAGGGATAGGGAGAATCTAAATTTCCTCTTATACGTATGCACTGCTTTGAGCTTTCATTCATAAAAATTTTTATAAGAAAATGAAAAAAAAAAAAAACAACTTTGTAGCTATTGCACTCAAAACTGACCTATACTTCCTTCACGGTTAATGTCCATAACTGATGAAAAGGAGTATATAAATATTGTTAGTGCATTCGTAACTGAGCAGGCATAAGCTCTGGGAAAGTGTGAAACCCTAAAGCGATTACCATGATTTCGCCATTTGCTTAAAGTCCTTGTATAAAGAAATATAGAATAGGATTGACCCGCTGTTGTGTTTAACTTAGTTCATAAAAGTTTGCATGAGTTTGTGGGCTGGAGTAGATATGTTTATCGCCAAATTCCTTATTTTGTGTGCACTTTGGCTCATTAGTCATCTTAGAACAAATGGTTCCTTTCTGTCAGACTACGCAATAGCTTTTTAAAGTTTGAATTGGCTTAACCGCCTAACTGTGTGACCATGTATACCAGTTTATAAGTCTTCAAATTTATGGTAGAAAGCTAAATATATTGTCATATGAACTCTTAATTCTGGAATTTCGCACCATTAACTTACGAGCAAATACACCAGCAGCCTCAAAGACTAAAGACCCTACGCGACCTTATATTATATGATATTTTTCTCGCATCAAGCATGTGGAATTGTTTTCGATTATAAATTGTTGGGTTTTGTTATAACGTTTACTAAGTGTTTCTTTTTTGAACGTTGTTCCATATTGTTCTCCCTTCCGGTTTTTTTTTTTGGTGGTTTGGTTTGGTGGTTTGATTTTATATTTGAACGTATTAAAACGTAACATTGAGTTCCCGTTTATACCGACAATTAATGAAAGCTTCAGTGATGATTGAAAATTGTTCTAATATTTCGTCAGGCGGCAGCCACCCAGATAAGCGAAAAATTTAACGCCAAAAGAAAGGTGTCGAGTCGTCATGTTCTCCGTTATTTCTTATTTAACATGACTTCAGACGATGGCCCCTATACGCGGCACACGGCGATGATCAGAAGGAAGTGATCAAAAGGAAAAAGTGATATGGAGCTGCCATCTTGTGGACATGTGTCCAATCGATAATTATTGTGTGTTCACCGTTTGAGCATTCACAGACGCATTAAGATTTGAAGAAGCAAACACCGGCTTCGTAGCTACGCCCGAACAAGAAATGTTCGCTTTTAATTTACTTTAGAGAGACGTTTCTAAAGTTCATTCCATTTATAGAATCGTCGGTGTTATGTAGTCTTTAAAATGGCGAACGTTCAAAAATATTCGATAATTAATCCCAGTTGATGTTTAATTCACACGCGAGCATTTAAAAGAGTTCGTTAAGATCATACGTATTATCTGCTTATATTGAGAGTGAATCCACACACAACAATTTGCATAGATTTTTCTGGTCTATTTGGCCATAGAGTAAGCATTTACCAACTCCTCCAAATATAAAATATATGAATCACCTAAAGTACATATATACGATTTTCAATACACAGGTACACACAACTGTCCAACAGGATCGCACGCCTTAGTATGTATATGTATCCATATATATATATATTGCAAAAAATGCTCATGATAACTTTTAAAGGAAATCTTCAGCAAACTACTTAAAAAGCAATGTAATATCTGATATCAAATGTAAATAATATTTGATATATATTTTATTCTATTGCAATTAAGATTCTCTTATACAATCCTTAATTCTCTTATGAGTAATACGTAACGAGAGAATGAGAGAAAATGTATAAAAAATTGAAATTGTTGTATAAGCAACAAACAAATATCGAAAATTCTTATGCACTTAAAAGAAACTTAACCTAGTAATATCTTAAGATACATTTTGCATTGAGGTATAAGTGAATGCAACTTGAAAAGCAAAAGGAAGAAAAAAAATGAATGCCGAAAACTGAGAAGAAATTGAGAGAATCAAATGGAAACAATAATATATGAGTTATGTGGTGTACGTACAGCACGATGATGAGAATAAATAAGAGTAGGCAGCCAGTAAGCAGCGAAACAAAGCAAAGCAAACAGTTAAATAGGCAGACAACCAGCTGTAAACAAGTATCATGCGAATGAAGAACATTGGAAAAACATTTGCAGCTTGTAACGCCGAAAAGCATTTGTAGTGTTATCCTGTGAGTCGTATATAAAACACGCGTTTCCATCTAAATGCGGGTGAAGTGGCTATTCATATAAATGAAAAGCTCACAAAGGAAATAAATAAATAAATAAGTAAAGATAAGAAACATTTTTTAAAATAACGAGATATACGTTGAATCAAAAAGTACATTGTTTTTATTCAAAAAAAAAAAAAAAAAAAAAAAATAATACAAAAATAATTTTTAAAACAAATTATGAAATAAGATATGAAAACAAAAGAATTATAAAAAATGTTTCCTTAACCTTAGGAAACCATTAAAAATAATTTTTATTATAAAAGTGTGCAGTGCTAAATAAATAAAGAAAAATATCCTTGCTTGCTCTATAGACTGCGTAGCTGGCTTTCAAAATTTCTTTTATATATAGTTTGTAGTATCTCGTAACATTATAGTACACTTTTAGGTATCTAACATCGTTAATGCTATAAAGTGAGTGCTAAGTTAATAAGTAAACTCAGTAATTATAAAATAAACACATTACTCAAGGTTAAGTATCATATATATATAAATTTTATATATATATATATAATATAATATATATATATATATATATTATATTTATTTAAAATAAAAAAATTGAGAAGAAAAATGAAAAATGTGCCGTTTTACACAAAAATTTGTCAAACCAAAGGCATATAAAAATCGGAAAGTGAAAATATAAAATCTTATATAGTCGCGTGCAAAGGTTAAATTAAATTGACTTTTTTCTTTTTTTAAAATTACTTGGATTGTAAAGTAAATAAACTGATATAAAACGAAAGAAAACAAAATTGCATTTTTTGTAACCTACTTTTCGGGTTGTTCTTGGTTAAGTGTAAAAATTGCCTTTGGGAGGAAATAAACCATCAATTAATTGTCATAATGTTCGTGAAAGGAAATGTTATAAAAATAAAATCTAATTTTTTTTTTTTATGAAAAAACTTAATTTAAAAAATTGTAATGTACTTTTAAGAGGCAACTAACTATATGTTCTAATAGCTGTAAATGACAGAGCAAGCGATAGGATGCATTTTCTTTTTCTTCTATTCAATTAAAATTGCTTCTCAAATTGAAGTTTAGAAACTTTAAAAAGGTAAAACTTTCCTCTACTAACAGTATCGATTCCATATAAATGCCTGTGCAAGTGTATGCATGCTTTAGCAAAATTGGAATTGAAGTGGAACAACGAGTAATTAAAGTTTACTTAGAAGACTTGTAATTAGATTCCGGTGCAAAGAGTAAATGAAATGAAGAAAAAACATTTTTGTTTGACTTACCGAAGATTGGGCAAACCTGCCAATGTCTCCAATGTATAAGCAAAAAGGAAGAAAAAGAAAAGATAACTGTTTCCTGTTCGACTTTTGCAAAGCAAAAGAAGCTAAACGAAATGTAAGGAAATAAACTTAATGTAAAATTCAGCAGTTGAGCGTAAAAGTAAATTAAGTTAATGATCAAGATGAAAGAACAAAAAATGTGTTATTAGAAAGAGATATACAAAGCTATAGTTTCGTAATGCAGGCAACGTTAAATCTCCAATTGATAGAATATTTTCGCAGTCTTCGAGCAAAAAAAATAAATTACTCCATAACTTGTGACTTTAGGGTATGCAATACTTTTAGCTGAAGCAAAGTAAGCACTTCACCTTAAAACGTAGGTTTATTTATTGAATTTTTTTTTAAAGAGAAATATCTAGAGCAGGTTTAAAACTTTTTAAATATGTGCACGAATATCTTTCCCCAAAATAATATTTGAGGGGCCACAGTTTTATAATTACAATGCACCCATAAAGAGAAATTAATATTAAAAACATTTTATTGGGCAGTATTGTAGATCAATGTCCATAAAAATTAACGATTTGTTTACGAACGTGAAGCTAAGCAATTAATATTTTCTCTAACAAAGCAAGACTTATCTTATCGTACCCTCTTCTATTTGTGGACCAAGGTTTTAGTTAAGTTTGTGCGGACGTATGCAACAACCCATCTTTTAAAATATCGGTGGTTTAATAACCACTTTCTAAATTGATCTCCGTCTGTCTCTTTGTTTGTCCATCTTGGTTTCTTGACTCCAATTCATAGACCGCAATTTTTGAGATATTTTAATGAAATTTGGCACAAAGATGTCCCACAGTAGTGCTTTTACTTGTTTTTCTTTACTTTATAGCATCGTTGAAAGGAAATTAACATTTTTCGAGATGCATTTTTAATAAAGCTGAGGAACTTTTAATTTTATACAAATTCACAAAAACTTGTGTATAGAAAAGAAATATTATTATAGGATAATAGGATAATACGTTCATTTAAATTAAAATCTTGCATCAAAAATGAAAAAATATAATATTTTTCGACTATTTTATAGCGATAATCAGAAAAAGATGGATTGATGATTTAAAAGAATTTTAAATAAACACGTTCTGAACTAAAAAAAAAGAAGTTAAAAAATTATATATTAATAATCGGACGAAGAAATAAATATCAAATAAAAGAAATTCGAACACAACAATAATTAATGAAAATTATTTTCAAATCTAAATTGCGAATAAATAAAAAAAAAAAGAAAACCTCTTAATTCAATGAATATAAGAACACACACATAATAAAAAAGAAGAAGAGTTAAAAGTTCACTATGGAAGTTCAAAAATTAAAAAAAAAATCCACGAAAACTAGAAATAGAAGTAAGAATAGTAGCAAAGCCTACTTTCCGGGCTGCAAACTTTCATAAAACATTGAATATAAAGCCTATTTCAAGGATTTGAAATAAAGAAATATTTAAAAATAATAAGAGAAAAAAAGTAATAAGAAAAAATTAAAAATAAATACTAAAATTCAATCTACGAAGGAAGCCAAATAATTACTCTATGTAACAAAATCTTAATGTACATTTCAAGGCTTAAATAACTTTTTCCGTTATGGTATTGCTCTCTTGGGGGTATATTTAAGGAGGGCTAAGGAAAAAAAAGTTAAAAAGCAAAACAAAAATATTAAATACAACTTGTTTAGTTGCCAAAGCCCAAGCGAACCAATTACAACATGGACTGTTTAGAAAAAAAAAAAAAAATCAAAACTGAAATATAAAACTTTATGGTAAAAAAAAAAAACACCCGGAACTCCAAGAACTCAGCAAATCATACGAGAGGAGGAGGAAAAAGCAGGCAAACGAAAACTGAATCCTTAACCGGATAGAAAATCAAGAAGAATAATTTTTTTATTTGGTGTTTGTTAATCAATTTAGCCGGTGTACAAGGCCCTTAAAAACTACGAACAGAAAGGTAACCGAACGTTCTGCTTTGTATTGGAGAATGTGTTAATTTTTCGGAATCAATGCTTATATGTTAGTGTACGCGTGCTCAGAAAAACAAAAAAATGGTCAGCATTTCAAGTTTCTTAATACCGCTTTGCACGAGATTTCTTTGTCAAACGAAAGGCACCGAAAAAGGTGAAATGAAGATAAGCATTTATTGAGAAAAGAGGAAAACGCAGGTATAACAAAAAACAAAAAATTGATAACAAAATGTATCAAACAAGAAAACAGGAACACTTTCAATCAAAAGAACATCAGCATGACAAACGTCAACATTTTAACCTGCCTTGTCAGCATCGGCATCATCATCATCATCAGCATAGGCATTATCGATGTTTCAGACGTTGCGGATTACTATGGCTGATATTCTTTACCATGATTCGAGGTATGTCGAGATATGTTGTCCTGTTGAAATGATTTTCAATTATAATAAGAACATAAAAAGCAATAACTGAGAAGCATAAAAAAATAAATAAATAATTAAATGAATTGTTTTTTTTTTATGTAAACATTTACGAGAAAACTTAATTTAGTTATAAATTATTTTCTATTGAAATACTTTGCAATTTGTTTTTTTGTTGTTACCTCTCTGTCGTCCTGAAAAACTTGATCATATTTTATGGAAACTTTTTCGTAATAGATTCTTTTCTTCTTTAGTTTTACTTCTCCTCTTTAATTTTTGTCGCCGTTTTTTTTATGTTAATTATTTAATTATTTTTATCTTTCTCTCCCTCTTTTTCTTGGTTCAATTAGGAGTTGGTTTTATTTTAAATGAAGAGAAAACGATAATAAAAGAAAGAACCATAAAAAAGTTTTTATTTTACCGGTATTTGCGTTTGCTGGCCGTTAATTGCATTAAATAGTAATTGAATTAATGCTTTTCGACGCTTTTTGTTCTTAATGCAAATTGAATGAAAACTTAAACGGCTTAAAAGCCTATAATGACACTAAGTTAAATTGCTGAAAAAGAGAATTGTGATTGAATGCTTATTAATAAAGATAGTCTGTTAGAGGGTGTCCTGTAATTACGCAAGAATCTAAAGCTTATACTGTATTATAGTAGTAGGATTAAGTAAAAGAATATTTAAATCATATTTGCTATCTTCATACAATTTATAAAGCCTTGAATGGTATAAAGCAAAGACGTTGGATATAATAGATCTATCCCGAAAATATTGGAAATCCCTGCTAGTCCCAAATCCGCCCTTGCTCGCGTTATTTTTTTAGACTCCTATCGTGAAAATTAAGGAAGATTTTTATTAAAAACTCATTAAAAGACTAAATGCTAGAACACTAGGAGCACATTTTTTCAATGACCCATTACTCAGTGGATGATATCTGTTATTGTAGGACGGCGTGAAAGGCAGAAAAAAGTGGTGAAAGAGGAGGAAATGCAGTCGCTTAGTGTTATCTTTCTACTGACCAAGCCCTTACTATACTCATGCCCGAGAAAACGCTCTACTGCGTTTGAAAATGGAACCTGCTTACACTAACTAGAGGCCATTTTTACTTACAGTGCTACACACGCTACTCATGCTTAATGTCTGCTCTCTTTCCGCAAATTTTTGCTTTTTATTTTGTGTCTGCTCTTGCCCGAAGGTATGCTACATATGTTCGACATTTTATTGTTGTTGTTCTTATTTGGACCAAAGATATAACTCTAGTAGCCTGAAGTAGGATAAGAACTTAAAAAAAATTTTTTTGAGGCTTTTTCACTTGACTAATTGATTGGTGTGTGAGAAATTGTTGCAGGGCTCAGCTGAGAATCAAGACGCATTAAAGAAACGCCAGCATTATCGGGTGTATCTCAATCTTCGAAATATAGAAAACAATTCCAACGTGTTCTGTACGAGAATAAAGTATGGAATTCATTTGGACGCTTGTCATGGAATAATCTTTGACTGATCGGCTTGAACAGCCGATATTTCAAATCTCAGCACGGCATATCATGTTTGCCTGAATGTCTAGTCTGCAGAACCATACACAAACTACAGTCATTCCTTATCTCTTTTGATTTTCCCACTTCCTTCTGACAGTCTCTTATAAGACACATCCCCCGAGTGGTTGATTATATAGAAGAAAAAAATGTTCCACTTTTCCAAATATGAACGACCGCGATATATTGAAGCTCCATTTGATCCATTTTAATAAAAATCAATATAGATATAACACTCCTTGTTATCTAGCGAAAAAGTTTGCTATTGTTTACCATCTGTGCGATTATAACGACTCGCGAAGGAAAATAGAGATTTCTGTTCTTCGAAGTTTTTCACATTCTTAGTCAAGTTTTCCCAACAATGTGCATAGAATTAAGTCACATAATATAACGTTTCGTTTTCTGCAATCTTTGCATTTCATTTCATGTCCTAACATTATCAAGTATTTGCTTAGGAACGATACTATAATTTCTTTTCCTTTTCTTCCATTTTGTGTCTTTCTTTTTAGTTCAGTTTGTAATCATCTGTTGTGTGTTCTTGTAATCCTTTTAATGTAATATTTTAGCTTCCAATTTAATGTTGTGGCCCAATCGATAAAGTAAAACTGTGTATATCCTACAAATAAGCAAAATAAGAGATCGATGCGTCGTGTAACGCATTCGCAGCAATTGCTACACAACATTGTAGTGTTGATTAGCCGTCATTCGTCTGGATTTGGAATTTATTCTTCTCTGATTCAACACAATGTTAATCACAATGCCTCCAATTGGTCTATTATAGGAATCTTTTTCACTTAATTACTTCTAGTAGTTGAAACATACTTTCATAGCATAAACTCTTCTGATTATTCGTTGTTTAACAACCATTCGCTTGGCAAACAGAACAAACTTTAATTCTATGTGTGATTCTTTGTAATAGCTGTTTTTTTAACTTCTTTTGTGCTTTCAAAGTAAATCATATTTTACGTTGAGTGGGCCGAATTTCGAAGATCTCCTTTTTACCCTTTGCCACTTGTAATCTTTGGTTAAATATTTAGCAATTTCAATAAAGTTGGCAAAGCGTTCTATTTTATCAAGAAATGGCAGGCAACATTTTGGTTAAGTGAGAATAATCTAGACAAGTGTACACAAGTGTTCCTTACTTCGAATCATGGATGCATTAAAAAAGTTTGTTTTTCAAGTAGGATGGGAAACATGCTCCTTTTCGTATCCAATAAAAATTGTTGAAATTGGTTTATACAACAAAGCGTTTGTAGCAGCCTTCAGATTCTATTGTTGCATGCGTGAGTATGAAAACAGATTGATAGTCTTTCCAAGGCTTAAGCATGTACAACCTTGTGTACATCGTCATAATTAGCGCACGAGCAATGTTTTGTATCTGCTGTGTTGTAGTTATCGCAGTGAATACTCACTTTTGCCGCTATTGCTATCACTTACATTTAGCGTGTTGTCTTATAATTTCACTTAAAGAAATATATTATGTTTGTTAAATTAAGTTTCTGAGCCGTTGTATTAACGTTCTAAACGTTCATTTATAAATCTCCATCCTTCTATGCGCCTGTCCATTCTACCATGGTTTCGAGGATTCATCCGCCCGTGCAGCCCTTTGGTTTCTTTTCTATTCTGTTTTCGACGCTTTCGTTCATCTTATTTCCCGTCAAAAAGTGCGTCGGTTCCTTAACAGATGGATTTATTTACTCACTTGCCTATTTCTAACTCACATTTTCTACCGCTTCTTCATTCGTTTGTCTATCCACTCAGCCTTGGGCCGCTATGATTGTTTGCTTATCTTTGAACGTATGCGTTTTTTTTTTATCAATTTGTGGATCCGTTCACTAATTATTTGCTCGGTAATTTGTCCACTTAACCCTTGTTTAACTGTTGGTCTTTTCTTTCGTCTATCAACAGTTTTTTAATTCATTCTCTCTTTCTTTGGCTTTTCCGACTCCGATTCATAGATCAATTTATATGGTTGTGCTTCCTCAGCCTAATCACGTATTCCATAGTAAATAGTTGGCGTATGGAATTATAAAAATGGAAAAGAGAAATTAAGGAAACATGACGTCATTTATTCATGTTTAGTATAAAGGAGAAAAAATGAAGTTAGCTAAAGTGGTAAAGTAGACAATATGCTTTCAAAATTGGTCAGGTTTCTATTTTTTACTTTTGGTAAGAAGAATACCTTATAAACATTGTCATTTTCGAATTTCTCCAAAGGAACCATTCAGCGCACAACAGTTTGTCTCAAGACAAGTTTTGATGGCCATGAGATGTTAACAAGGAAGCAAAGAAATAAGTTTTTTTTTTCCTGAAAATCACTTTGAAGAGAACGATTAATTTTGAATTAAATTAATCGATAACTTTAAATTAGATTTGAGACAGGAATAATGAGTCATATTACTTAAAATTTTGAAGCAAAAAGTTCTTGGATCCAATATGAAAAGTGCACAACAAAAGTATATTAAGTCAGCGCGGATGTATAGAACACCGAGAAGAGCTTGAGATAGATTTACCTTTTATTATCCCCATCTGGATTGATTTGAGCTTATATGTCCGTCGGTCTTGTTTTCTTATGTTCAACCTTCAGGCTGCTATTTTTGCGATATTTTGATGAAATTCCGGTTTTGATCACGTGTGACGGCCCAACGAAATGGTTCTGATTTTCCTCTTTTACTTGTTTTTTTTTTTTTAGAAAAATCTTACTTGCTTCTGTTCGAAATATTGTTTACTACGCTCTAGTGGCTTGATTGCTTTAGCCTTAATTTAATGTCATTGAATTAATGTTACCTTAGCTTTCTTTAAGACTTGACACAAATACTTTTAAAATAATATTTTCGAAGCTTTTCGGAGAACAAATTAAATTTGACGAATAACAAATAGTTGCTACAAATAGTTAACGATACGTTCAGTTGGTTCGGCAAAGCATTTAATTGGCGCCTTACTGAGAATTGTAGGTTAAGCGTGCTATGGAAATTGTTTGATTGTTTTCATGTTAACGCTTGGGAATGTTTGTTATATGTTAGCGAGAAATCCGTTTGAAATCCGTTTTAAGCTTAATAGCAGCTGAGAAGAAATCCCTTAAGCTTGTTACAACAATAAACGATAACCGTAATAAACACAGCAAACAACAACAGGAAAAACAGGGAAAAAAGGTTGAAAGGAAAGGAAAAACTTCAGATGTGTGCTTAGTGTGGCTTGATGTCGTCGAGTAGTGTGTGGAAACGACAAGTTATGAAAACATAACCACATACCGACCCCAATCAACACAACGAATAAATGAATATACGGCCACAAGTTTGTTGTTGTATTATTATTATTATTATTTCTTGTTTTTTTTCCCTTGCAAGATATTATTAAAATATTCGCATACTGATGCTTATGTATGGAAATATACATATATTTGTGCACTTAACTGGGGCAAAGATTAAAATGAAGTTTACACTTTTATA